TCGAGGTAGATCTGGGTACATCGATGTAAATGCAGGCACGTCGGCGTAAATCTAGAGATCCGCAGGAAATCTGGGGCAAATCGCGGACGCTCCCGCGCGAGTCGAGGGACAGCAGAAGTCGTTCAGCCCGCAACGAGCGTACGTTCTTGCTTCGCCCGCGAGAGGGCGCGTTGGCTTGAGTGCCTGTGCTTTGATCGAGTTTCATGCGGAAAGCGGCTACGCGTTTCGCCCCGGCCAAATTGCCTGCATCGAGTGGACTCCGTCGACGATGGGATTGGAGGCGGAGCGGAGAGATGCAGTGTACGGTGGGGGTTTCAAAACAAATCCGAATCTACCCGCGAAAGGTTCGTGTCGTGTCGACCGGTGGCGACTCCGCCGCTGGCGTTCAACATTGGACGCAGCCCGCGACCCACAATCGGTCGATGTTGCAGGATGTTGAACGATCTGACGTTTCGGCATCGGCCGATCGTTCAGGGTTGAACGATCCCCGCTGTTTCGGAAACCAACCTCGAAGTCGGCACGACACAAGCCTGCAGTACAGGGGATGTTCAAAAAGCTCCGAACCCACCCGCCCTGCCGGCCTGTCGACGCCAATTGTTCACGTTTGAGGCCCACCGCGCTCCCGCGGCAGGAGTGGCAGCAGTGCCCGGGCTTGCAGCCCTGCGGCCGGTGCCAGCCGCGGCACTGCGAGTTCGGCGACTGGGGCGAATGGCACCCCAGCGGGCAGCCGCCGCCGCCAGGGCACCATTAGGTTTGAGGTTTGTCCGGATTTCGAGGTTCGAGGTGAAAGGTTATAGAACAATTTCGTCGTCTCTCTGTGGTTTTCCAGCCTCTGGATACCTTTTCAGCGGGTGCGCTTTGCCGAGGGCGTTCCAGGAGGGTCCAGATCGTCCCGAACGACTGCCAGAGGCTTAATTTGTGACCCGACAACTATATCAAGGGACGTTTTTGTTTTGAGTATTCATTTATAACCAAAAATTATTGTTTATCCCCCTGCCTGGTGACCATTGTGTGTTTTTTCAATGAAAGTGCTCCTCCCGGGGCTTGCACCTGGCTTTTTACAAGGGAGAGGGTGGGGTCACCAAACTGTCTTGTTGACCTCCGGTTCAAAACAACAGCAGCTCCCGCTTAATATTTCCTCACATGTTTTCGAGAAATTGCGCTACGCGTGGGACTTCCTGATAATGCAGGAATCGCGCTCTCGCATGTGACTTCCTTGCAAATTATAGAAGCGCCGCGCCGTCGAGGCTCAGGAATCGTGCGCTCGCCCTGGTTTCTCTCGCGGTTCGCGTGGGAATCCCGCTATCTCTCGAGACTTCCTCGCGATTCAGTTCGTACCCACGCATCAGCAACCCGCTTGCTCGACCTGGCCGCTTGGGCCCGCCTTCCCGACCCGCCCGTTAGGGTCTACCCGCCTGATCAGCCAGTCTGGTTTTGCCACGTGTTTTCTGCTCCTAGCCCCGCTTCTGCTAATCCCGTGCTCCATCCTTCTCCCTCCCCATTCCATCCGTCCTCTCTTCCCGTGTTTTAGGGGCTGCACCAATTTCACGCGGCAGGTAAGGAAGATATCTCCCCAGGGGGGTAAGTACGATCGAAGACGAACAGGGCGGGTATCGAGGGTTTTGGGTACACGTGTTCAATGCCATGTGAGCAGGTCAGAGCGAACAGTCTGAACATGCTTGTTGTTGCTGTTGTTGCTGTTGTTGTTGTTGTTGTTGTTGTTGTTGTTGTTGTTGTTGTTGTTGTTGTTCTTGTTGCTGTTGGTGAATACTCATTTCTAGAGAATACTTATTGTTAATCTCCAGAAACGGTTCCGCGCGCTCTCGCCTCGACAGTTTCTCTAAAAACGAGGCTCCCGCGCGAGCGTTGGCTTGAGTCTACATGTGTGCCCTTGGAGGCCCGGCTACAACGACAACGGCTCCGGCTCGATACTTCCTCACAATTTACCCCGAGACACCCTGGCCAGAGAGGCCCTCGAAGTCAGGACCGGCGCTCTCGCAATTCAGTCAAGTTGGCGGAGGCCCAGCCACGACGACAAGGGCTCCTGTTCAATATTTCCTCACGATTTACCCCGAGAGTCCCTGGCCAGGAAGGCCTCCGAATTCAGGAACGGCGCTCTCGTTCGAGACATTCTCATGATTCAGTCAAATTGGTTGAGGCCCAATTGCGACGACAAGGGCTCTCGTTCGATACTTCCTCAAGATGTAGTCGGCATTCCGACCTCCAGCCCCTAGCGTCAGACTCCCCGCTTCCACTTCCATCTTTCGACCTCCCAACCTCAACCAGCTCAACATTACGACCTCCAGCCTCTAGCATCCGACTTTCCACTTCCACCTCCACCCATCGACCTCCAGCGCCCACCAGGTCAGCATTCCAACCTCCAACCTCCAGCATCCGACTTTCCACCTCCACCTCCACCTATCGACCTCCAACGTCCATCAGCTCAACATTGTGACCTCCAACCTCTAACATCCGACTCTCCACTTCCAGCTCCACCAATCGACCTCCAGCGTACTCCAGTTCAGCACTCCGACTTACAATCTCCAGCATCCGACTCTCACACGATGCGCTCGCTGCCTCGCGTTGAGTTCACTGCTGTGGAAGCGCCTGCGAGAGCCCCGGGGACTCCTCGAGGCCACGGGGTGCCTAGTGGAGCCCAGACTGTTACTTAAGACCGTTTTTCTTGTTCTCCTGAATGGCAGAAGAACGCGCACATGACGACCTCCAACCTCTAGCGTCCGACTTTCCACTTCCACATCCACCTATCGACCTCGAGCGTCCATCAACTCAACATTACGACCTCCAACCTCTAGCATGCGACTCTTCACTTCTACCTCCACCTATCGACCTCCAGCGTCCACCAGCTCAGCACTCCGACCTCCAACCCCTAGCATCCGACTCTCCACTTCCAGCTCCACCGATCGACCTGCAACGCTCACCAGCTCAACATTACGACCTCCAGCCTCCAGCATGTACCTTTCCGCTTCCACCTCCACCGATCTACCTCCCAACCTCCAACAGTTCAGCATTCTAACCTCCAGCCTCCAGCATCTGACTTTCCACTTCCCCCTCCACTAATCGACCTCCAGCGTCCACCAGGTCAACACTCCGACTTGCAATCTCCAGCACCCGACTCTCCACCTCCACTCCACTTCCACCTATCGACCTCCAACGATCACCAGCTCAACAGTAAGATCTCCAACCTCCAGCATCCGACTCTCCACTTCAAGCTCGACCAATCGACCTCCAGCGTCCACCAGCTCAGCACTCCGACCACAAACGTCTAGCATCCGACTTACGATCCACCTCCACCAATCGACCTCCAGCGTCCAACAGCCCCGCATTCCGTCCTCCAGCATCTAGCATCCGACTCTCCACTCCCACCTCTATTTATCGACTTCCAACGCCCACCAAATCAGCATTTCCAACAACTAACCTTTAGCAGCCGACTCTCGACTTCTACCTCCACCAATCGACCTCCACCCTCCACCAGCACAACATCCCGACCTCGAGTTTCTAACCTCCGACTTCCCGTTTCCACCGCCAGTCGACCTCCAGCGTATGTGCCTTCGGCTCCGCGTGTATCTGCGCCCTGAGTGGTATCTGAAGGATGTGACTGGATTGGAATTCGGAGGCGTTCAACTCGTTCGTGTTTGGCTTGGGCTTCGCGGTTACAGAAAGGACGACGACATCCACGGGATTCTCCGACAGGTTCATGCCACAGACAATACGACTTCAACGAAACTACGTCACTACATCGGATTACAACAGAGGAGTGGAAACAATTGGAACATCAACATGGGAGGCACGCATTATCCTGAGCAAGCCTCCGACGCGCGCTGCCTCTCATGCGAGGCCACGGCTTCGCCCACCTCGCCCTTAAGGGGCCTGGGCGCATGCCCGCACAGGCGATCCGATCCGATCCGATCAAGATGTATTCGCAAAGGCCTTTGCCAGAGGGGCTCCCGAACTCAAGTGCGGCGTTCTCGCTCGAGATCTCCTTGTAATTCAGGCAAGTTGGTGGAGGCCCACACTCGGCGACAAGGGTTCCCGTTCGATATTTCTCCATTTGTATTCCGAGAGCCCCTGGCCAGAGAGGCCCCCGAATTCAGGAACGGCGCTCTCGCTCGAGAGTTCTTCGCACTTCAGTCAGTGGCCGACAAGGAAGATATCCCCCCCGAAAGGGGGTGCAATCGAAGACGAAGTGGGCGGGTATCGAGGGTTGGGGTATGCAGACTGCAACACACGCGTGCCAGTAAGAGCGAACAGTCTTAAACTGATTGTTGTTGCTGTTGCTGTTGCTGTTGCTGTTGCTGTTGCTGCTGCTGCTGCTGCTGCTGTTGTTGTTGTTGTTGTTGTTGTTGTTGTTGTTGTCGTTGAACTCCCATTCGTGTGGTTGTCATCCGTATGTCAGCCTCCTCCTCCTTCGCCTCCGTCCCGCCTCCCTTGTGTGCCGCCGTTGTGGTTCGCAAGGGCCCTTGAGTCGTCTGGCGCGCAGTCGACGGGCGCGCCCTGCCCCCCGTGAAAGGAAGAGAACGTGCTCTCTTATAGCACGGGTCCCCCTACTTGTACTTCGTGTCTCTCTGTATTCCATATAGTTACTCCCGTGCGTTCCACAATGGCAGCGGAGCGCGTGGTTCTGATCAACGAGGGGAGTCAGGCTGATTCCCCTGCCACCCGACTCTCGGGTGACATATTCCATATTCGTCTCCCGTTTTTCACGCTTCCCACGTTCTGGCGCCGAGCGCCGCCATGGGCCGTCCAGCCGTCGCTCAGCCTCTCGAAGACGAGCTTCCGGATGGTCCTTAGAAACCACCAGGGCAGGGTCCTTGGGCAGGGGTCGGAGGACGAGAAAACGCTCTCTGGGACGGTGATGACGACTTGGGTTGGTCAGATGAAGCCCGCTGATGCACGGCCCAGTACGCAGTCGTCTTTATCAAGTTGGAGCGCGCGGGGCCGTGGTTCGCCGACTGCCCTTTTTCGGTTGAACACGTCTCTGCGAGGACAGTCCACGCCGTTCACTCAGACTTATTGGGGAAATGCTGCTGCCAGATTTTCTGATCACCGCAGGGGGCAATTTCCGGAATAATCGGGAGCCCCACAAATACCAACGACCTACCCCCCACCTGGGGTGGAAATGATCGTGGTCCGCACGCGGACCAGTGTTTTGTCGAGTGGCAGATGCGCGCCATAGTCCCGAGGGCTCAAAGCTGGGTTGGCTGGCCCCTGTGGGGAACCACCGGCATAGCCTCCTGTTCGCTTTCGCCCCCGCCATATATCGAACGGGTGTAGGGCCCCCTTGCGGGGGGCCCGTGGCGCTACGCTCTGAGAGCGCGTCCACCCTGCAACCGTGGCGGCGTGCGTCGAAGACTGCATTTACACCGCGGCGGACTTTCTCGACCCAAGGGGTTCGAAGTCCGCGCAGTGGCAGTCCGACAGCAAGGTGGGGGAGCTCATCCTCACCAAGGACTACTCTGACGCTGGTACAGGTCAGGGATCTTCTCTTTCTAAGATTGCCTTGGAACGTCAGTCAAGTTCTGAAGGGGAAGATTTTGGAGGTTACTCATCTCGGTTCTTTTGATTGATATTACAGGTGGTACGTCAGGGACGTCCTCAAGAAGGATAGGCCCATCTGGCTCCACATATGCTCGCAGGGATCTGCGAGGGCGTGCTGTGCAAGGATGCCCGCCTCCAAGGACGAGAGGAAGGCGGAGGTCGTCCAAGTCGACTTGTGGCGCAAGGTGCTCGCCCGGGAGGCTCGTGAGCTCCCGTGGGTGCCCTCCAGAACCCCCCCGAAGAAAAGGGTTCTTCCAGAGCCGCCCAGAAAGGGGCGCCCCCCTCCCGATCAAGAGCGGGAGGAGGAAAAGGGGGAGGAGGAAGAGGGGCAGCATCAGGAGCAAGAGCACGAGAACGGCGTCGACGCCTACGATCCGCTCGGCCTCAGGACAGGAAAGGACAGCGGCGGCGGTGGCAGCCGGAGAGGCGACGAAAAGAGGGGCAACAGGCCCGAGCCGCCGCCTCGGACGGGCAAAGGTGGTACTCTCATGGAGGACCTCGCGGAGATCGAGAAGGCGCGGCCAGTGGCAGTGGCGCTCGTGACCAAGTTCCGGGCGCTGGGGCCACCATGAGGCAGAAGCTCTCCGATTTCCTCGCCGAGAGGGCCAACGCTACGAGTGCGCGCGCTGAGAAGCCGGCTGGGGCCAGGGACCCCAAGGACGAGGAGTCGATCACGATCGACGGACTTGCTCGCATCATCCGGCGTCGTGTGATTGCGGACTCTGACGAGTCGGGGGAAGACGAGGGAGGACCAGGGACGGCAGGTCAAGGAACGTCGACATCCTCAAGACGCGGCGGGAGTCTCCCGGCCAGCTCAGCGAGGATGCGCTGCAGCGGATGGCGAGGCTCCTTGGCACCCTGGCGGCCTCCGATTTCAGCGACGCCGCGTGCCGAGCGATTGTCCAGGCCTGCGTGCGCCAGATCATGTTCAACGAGTTCCCCCGGCAGAAGATTGGCCTGCGCAATTCCCGGGAGATCGAGATTCTGGCGCTTGCGGCCGATCTCCTCCTCCAGGGGGGGCAGGCGGGGGCCCTGGGCGTCGTCGTGCAGGGGCTCGAGGCCCTCGAGCGTTCCCTCGTCGACGAGAATTGGACCGTCGCCAGGTGGTACGAGCTCGTGCCGACGGGGGGGGCGCAGCTCGCCAGCCGCGCGGAGGCGACGGCAGCGCTCAAGCTCGAGGAGTCCGAGAGGAAGCTCAAGGGGCCCAGGGCCGTCGGGATCAAGCCCTGATCCAGGACTGCATGGGGGCAGTCAGGGCCTGCCGCTCCGACGCCTGCGTCGGCGGCCATCTCGAATTCTACACCGCTGATTTCTTCTACGTCGGCCGAGGCTGCCGTGGCGCAGCCGTTGGAGAGCCGCCACCCCGTTGGTGTTGGAGGCAACTTGCAGCGCCAGGGGTCGGGGGCGAGCGGCAGGGGTTGCGGCGGGGCGGCCGGCCAGCAGCCCAAACCCTGGAGGGGCCGCAACCGGAAGCGCTTGGGCAGGTGGTAGGCGCTGATGCGGCTCTCGCCGGCTGTATCCAGATTTTTGCACAGCCGGTGGTGAGTGAAGCTTGGGCTCGCTGTGCGCGGGGCCGTTCGTTGATTTGCGATTGCGGCCTGGAGCGGTGCCATGTGGGTCCGCTTGAGGTCCTCCTGTCGCGTCGCAGCGTCGAGCCCCATATCAGATGGGACAGGCCGAGGCATTGGTTGGGGCACGAACTGGAGGAGCTACCCGAGCCGCTTACCTTCAGTTCCCTGGGCGTGCTTTTGGATAGTGCGATAAGGCAGCGTGCTGGGGGTCTGTCTGAGATGGACGCCCTAGCTCACGCTGTCGAGACCACATTCTCCTTCATGCCCGCAGGGGGGCGCAGTTTGGCCAGCGATGACACTTTGACCCAGGATGTGCTACCAGTGCCTGTCGGTCAATTGCGGGGTGAGCCCGCTCTTGCATGACTTCTACTTACAGCCCAGAATTGTCTTTTTGCCGGGACCTCCCGGTTCGTATACAGCGGCATTACAGCCAAGCCGCATTTCATCGAAGAGCATCGAAGTATGATTTCCATCGCGCAGCGTCGCGTTGAACGTCTTGGCAGCCAGCCCGAGGGTATCCCTCGGAATTCTTTACGCTTCGCGTATCCCCACCAGCCCATCTCACAGCAGCAACTCTTGCGAAGCATGCCGACAGTCGTGTTTTTTTCAGGCGTGTGTCCGCTTGGCCCCGCATATCTCCCCTGTTCCTCCTTCCTCCCGCCTCCTTGCACATCCTCCTTGTGGGGTGGGCGGGAGAAGGACGAGGCGGAGGAGGAGGGAGAGAAAACGCTCCTCGTGATTTGAGTCGTTTGGGGTTTCTCGTCCTGGTGTGAGTCGTTCGGGCCCTTCTTCCTGGTGTGAGTCGTTCGGGCTCTTCGTGGTGTGAGTCGTTCGGGCTCTTCGTCCTGGTGTGAGTCGTTCGGGCTTCTCGTGGTGTGAGTTGTTCGGGCCCCTCATCCTGGTGTGAGTCGTTCGGGCCCCTCCTCCTGGTGTAACTCGTTCGGGCTCCTCGTGGTGTGAGTCGTTCGGGGCCCGCGTCGTGGTGTGAGTCGTTCGGGCTCCTCGTGGTGTGAGTCGTTCGGGCGCCTCGTCCTGGTGTGAGTCGTTCGGGCCCCTCCTTGTGATGTGAGTCGTTCGGGCTCTTCGTGGTGTGAGTCGTTCGGGCCCCTCGTCCTGGTGTGAGTCGTTCGGGCTCCTCGTGGGGCCTCTTGGGGGCCTCTTGGAGCCTCTTGGGGCCTCTTGGGGGCCTCTTGGGGGCCCCTTGGGGGCTTCTTGGGGGCCTCTTGGGGCCTCTTGGGGCCTCTTGGGGGCCTCTTGGGGCCTCTTGGGGGCCTGTTGGGGCCTCTTGGGGGCTTCTTGGGGGCCTCTTGGAGGCCTCTTGGGAGCCTCCTGGGGGCCTCTTGGGGCCATCTTGGGGCCTCTTGCGACCTCCTCAGAAGCGCAAATGAGCGCTGCCCCTTGAGAAGGACAAAATGAGCCCAAAACGTTAGTAACATCAATGATTTTGCTATGAAGGAAGATGAGCGCGGCCCCCTTCAGAAGGCCAAAATGGGGCCAAAACCGTAGTAAAATCAATGTTTTTGGCTTCACAGAAGAGCAGAGGGGCCAAACTCCGTCCCCCCGTCGGGGCCAGAATCCTCGTGAGGGTCGTCGTTTTTTAGCCCTCCAAGGAGTCGAAAACGACCCCCCTGACGACGCTCGGCCCTCCCTCTCCAGGCCCAGGGGGAGGGGGTACGGGGAGGGGTAAACCCCTCCCCGAGGGGAAGAAGGGGGGTTGGGGGGTTGAGAACAGAGAGAGCTCTCTAAACCACTCACGCCCAAAGAGCTGGTGGGATTCCATCGAGCGTAAGCTTGGCATGGATCACATTGCCTATGAAGGCTCTGGCGGGCGGCGTCGCCCACTCAGCTTGGTGCAGATCGCGGAAGGGCTGCCTCCAGCTGGTGCCGTCGGCCGCGTGCCCTTGGATAAGGTAGTTCCCTGGAGGTCGCCCAGTGGCTGCGGGGGCCGAGCCGCGTCCTGAAGAGTTCCGAGGAGTGGCCTCGGCACCCGCCGCGAGCCCGGGTCAGCGCGACCTACGACGACTGGTGCGAAATCGTCTCGGAGTTGCATCGCCGCGGAGGTGCGCGGGCGATTCCGGAGTCACTGATCTTCGCGCCTCGAGGCGAGTTGTGCCTCAACGGAGCGTTCGGGGTCGTGCGACCCAAGGACGCGCTTGCGCCTAGAGGGCCTGGCCTCCGGCTCATCGTCAACCTGATCCCCGCCAACAGCTACGTGCAGGAGCATTTGGGGGAGGTGAGCGACCTGCCCATGATCGGCCAGTGGACGTCGGTTGCCCTCCTGGAGGGGCAGGTTTTGTGGATCAATTCGGATGGCCAGAAGGGTTCCTTCCAGGAACACTTGTTCAGGGTTCCCGACGCCTGGCATGGCTTCTTCGCCTTCGAGAAGCAGGTTCCGGGTACGTGCGTCGGACTTGGAACCTCGGAGCCCACGTGCGTGGCGATCGCTGTGTGCCCGATGGGATGGCTCTTGGCTGTTAAGGCTATGCAGGCAGCAGGGCGTTATTTAGCTGTGGAGCCTGCCCCTGAGGGTGCGGGGCTAACCGCCGCAGAGCATCGAGGGAACCAGGCGATGCCCCTCCGACCATCCTCGAAAACACAGTCGTTGTTCCACGTCTACCTCGACAACTGGGACCAGTTCACGATCGGCAACAGGGAGGAGCTCGACGCCAGGCGGGGGCGCCCGTCCGCCGAGCAGCTGCGCCTCCGAGGCGCTTGGGCTGCCCGCGGCACCTTGCGGTCAGAGGGTAAGGAGGTCGTCAGTGAACCGATCGCTCCGTCTCTCGGTACCTTGTGGGACGGAGAGAGGGGCGTGCAGGGGCCGGAGCCGAAGCGAATCTGTTTCGTATTGTACCTCATATTGTACACGGTCTCTCGGCCGCGAGTTACCCAGTTGCTCCTCTCGGAGGCTTTGGGGCACATCTGCCATGTATGCTCTTGGCAGCGGCCGCTCTTCAGCGCGTTCGGGGCCGCGTTCCACGCGGCCCAGTGCGCACCGCCGCTCCCGCTCGCCGAGGAGGTCATCGACGAGCTGCTGACCGTGGCCTGCGTGCTGCCGAGCTGCGTTGTGGACCTGCGCGCGGCGATTGACCCGAGGCCAGTCGTTTTGCATGCGAGCGAGTATGGGGGCGGAGCTTGTGAGGCCTGCGGGCTCACGCCTGTTGGCGCGCAGATTGCAGACCTCTGCCTTCGCGAGGTCGGTTGGGGTGCCGCAGGGGGTCCCCGACGACTGCAACCGGTGCGTCAGGGCCGTTATCTCCTCATCGCTGTTCGGGGCTCTTCGGCAGCAGCGCGCGCGGCCTGCGACCTCGCAGGGCTCGACGTTGCTGCGTGCATCGTGGTCTCGGAGGACGCTGCAGCTCGTCGCGCGGCGCGCTCGAGTGCCGAGGTCGACGAAGAGTGGGCGTGGGGGCGCGAATGCACCCAGGCGACCCTCGACAGAGTTGTGGCCAGGTACGCCGGGCTGCACATCCTCGTTTTCTTCAAGATCAAGAGATGCAGCCGAGGAGTTCTTTTTCCTGGGATCTCTGCCTTGGTGACTTTTCTGGAGGCGTCTCTGCAGCCGCGTTGCCCAGGTGAGCTGCGTCGTCGAGGCTTGCTCGGCGCTCGAGGCCATTGCCGTGGACTCGATCTCGGCCCACCTGGGCGTCAAGCCGTTGCTGCTGGACGCGAGGAAGCTCACGCTTGTCGCCCGGTCTTCGCTGTTCTGGTGCGTGGGTTTCGACCCTCGGTGCTTGAGCTCTCTGGAGGTCGTTGGCTCGGCGGGGGCCAGTTCAGCGCAGGTCACCACCATCGTGTGCCACGACCGCGCCGTCGCAGGCCTGCTGAATCCGGGCGCCCTGAGGGTGGACGGACGCGCAGCGGCACGTGTCCCTGGTGGTCGCTCCCGCCGGCTGCCCAGCCCTGCCGCCGGCGCAGTCCACAACTTCTCCGGGGAGTTGGTGTTGGAGGGCGGATCTAGACGCGCACTCGTGCCAGACGAGTTGGAGCGACTGCTCGGCTTCTGCGCTGGCCACGCGCGCGAAGCCTTGGGGAAAGGGAGCAAATCGGCGGTCGAGAAGCTACTGCGTGGTGCTCGACTTCCGCTCCTGGACGGCGCCACCAGCCCGTTCGTTCTCAGCCTCCTGCTGCAGGGCCTCGCGTGCAGGAGCGCAGCAAACGTCCCTCTTGGATCTTGGACCCTCGGGCGTGAGGAAGCGTTGGGAGGATGCAGAGCGTCTCAAAACACAGCTCGACTCGGCGTTTGCAGATATAGCGACTCCTCCGGACTGCGCGCCGCGCCCGAGCGTGATGGAGGAGCTGCCAGCAGGTTGGTCGGCCGACCACGCCGTATTCTACGAGTTTTTCAGGAATTGCGATGTCCGCGGCACTGATGTGCGCCTCAACCCACTCATGTTTTATCGCGCACATGCCTGGCCGCGCAAGCCCATCAATACCCTCGCATGGAAATGGAGGACAATTTAACGCTACCGCTACAAGAGATATTCACACATCAATGAACTTGAGCTGCGCACCTTTCTTAACTATTTGCGCCTGCGTGCCCGCCGGTGTGCTCGGCACAGAGCCCGATTCCTTAGCATCTCGGACTCGCAGGTTGCTGTCTCTGCTCAGGCCAAGGGCCGCTCGTCCAGCATTCGTCTGAATGCTGTTCTTCGCCGGATCGCGGGCGTCAGCATCGCTTGTGATATGAGGGCAGCGGCGGGCTGGACTAAGTCCGAGTGGAACCCCGCTGATGCGCCCTCCCGCTCCTATGCCAAGTAAGGCTAAGGCGCGCGGTGCAATCATCGCCACCCAGGAGGAACGACGAGCAGAGAGACAGGGCGCCAAGTTGGTGCGCAGAAGTGAACGACTTGAGAAACGGTATGATAAAGCGTTGGAAAGGTTTCATATATCTACAGTTGATTGGAATCGATATTCCTGCGTCCCCGTATGCCATCGACGACGCCATCGTTGAGTATATTACTTTCCTTTGGGAGGACGGCGATGCCATTGGCACAGTCGGGGACGCGATCAGCGGCATGCAGGCCCGCATTCCGGCCCTCCGGAAACACCTCCCGGGGAGCTGGCTCATGCTCAAACCATGGAAGAACAAGGAGCTGCCGGTCCAGGCGCCTCCGCTACCCCCAGTTCTCGCGTGGGGCCTTGTGGGCCTCGCGCTGGAGGCGGGGTTTCCAGGGGTCGCCTGCGTTTTCGCCGTGGCTTGGCACTGCGTGCTCCGGACTTCTGAAGCATTTAGCCTGCAGGCCTCGAACATCACGCTCGGGCACGCCACGTCCGTCGTCGCATTGGCGGTCGCGAAGAAGGGGCTCCGGGATGCAGTCACTATTTTCGACCCGTGCGTCAGCGCTTTACTCGCTCAACGTATGGGGCGGCTTTTACACGGTGATCGCTTATCGGAGGTGCCTGACAATAAGATCAGACAGATTTTGAATTCATTTCTCAAGGACCTCGATGCTCGTCAACACGGCTTCCGCCCTTGCAGTTTCAGACGTGGCGGGGCCACTCGCCATTTTCGCTCGTTCGGGTCAATGGGCCAAACGTGTGAGCGCGGCCGCTGGGGGGGCAGCCGAACAGCGCGTATCTACATCACCGACGGCGCTGCCCAGCTCTCGGACATGCATTTCAGCATTCAGTGCAAAACCATGTGCCTTGAACTCGCACGACGGCTTTCTCGACGTCTTTCGGTGAGTGTGCCTCGATCCTAGGCCAGGCATCGGCCACGCGGCCAGAACAACATAAATTTGGAACTTCACGAGCGGATTCCATACAGTACGGCATCCTTGCCTCAGGGCTTGTCCTGCGAACGTGGCCGAAACTCCGCCGCAGCTAGGCGGCCGGGGCCTATCTTCAGGCACGCAATTTTCCGGAGAAGGTGAATCGTCCCACAATGCCATAGCATATCTCTCTCTTGCGCTTCGCTGACCTGCGGCCCAGGGTGGGGGCAGCGGAGAGGGCCCCCAGGTCTGTGCCTGGAGCGGCGCTGGTCTACGTAGACCAATCCCTCTTCTCTTCGAAGGCGCCGTGCGCCATGGGGACTTTCAGGACCCTGCGGAGGGTAAAAAGTGCACCGCAGAAGAGACAATGATCGTGGCCCGCACGCGGACCAGTGTTTTGTCGAGTGGCAGGTGCACGCCATAGCTCCGAGGGCGCAAAGTTGGCCGCTCCCACCCGCCCTGTAAAGACAGGTAAATGCTATTGACTTGTAGTCGATTGCGTCTCGGAGAGGGCCCCCAGGTCTGTGCCTGGAGGGGCCCCGGTCTACGTAGACCAATCCCTCTTCTCTTCGAATGCGCCGTGCGCCATGGGGACTTTCAGGGCCCTGCGGAGAATAAAAAGTGCACCGCAGAAGAAGCGCATCTCTTGATACTTGCGTAGAGCCTTACATGGAGGAAGTGCAGATGTGGCTCACGAGTACCAGAACCTTGAAGAGACAACATGGATACCCCATTTACCGCTACGCCAGAGACGACCTCAATATTATCATCAACGAATTCACCGAATATCAGTTGTCCTCGGAGAACATTGGGCAGGTTGTGGTCCAACATATCAAGAAAGCTTTCGCCGACTGCCAAGACCTCGGGATGCCTAATGCATTTGAAGAGCTTCTATTCTGACGGCGGCAAGCGTGAGCGAGACGAGTCTCTGGTCCATTATACAGCTCGCAAGCGAGTTCTCTTCCGAGAGTTTGAGAAGCGCGTGATCTTACCGGAGGAGGTGAGAAGGGTGCATGCTTCTCAGAGAATCCAAGCTCAGTGAAGCCGCTTGGGATACGGTTGAGCACTGGACAGAGGGATCCTATGATTTTGTCATGGGGTGTGTGAAGCTCCATCATATTGAACGACCGCTGCCCTCTTGCAAAAGCGACCATCGTATTCGTGCAATGAGATCCGCCTCGCGCTTCGTCGGGTACCAAGGAGATGAAGACGGATATGATAACCAGGATTCTGACCGCGATGGCTTGCATTGGACTCTCATGGATTAGTCTCTGTTTACCTTGCCCGAGCACTACGAGGAAGACGACGTCTTGAATGAGGCTTTCAGGTACGTGGGCGACGAAGACGTGATTCCGTAGCCTTAGACATGCCCGAGGATGTCATTTTGGACGAAGACGAGGCTGTCGCCATCTACGCCAACTGCAGTCAGGTACGACAATACCTGCTCATGCGCAAGCTCGGACGAGGCTTCTTTAAACAGTCTCTTCCGAAAGGCAAGTCCAAAGGCTCCCGCGAGGGAAAGCGTCGAGGGAAGCGGACTGGGCATGCTCGACAGAAGCGCTGGGTCAAACGTGAACTGACGAGCCGCTCGAAGTGCGCCCGACGCGGGAAGATGTGGACTTTTGGTCGGGTTTGCGCGAACGAGCCAGGCGAGCGAGGTTGCTGACGGCAAGCAGGCTTCGGTGGCTTCCAGGCTGTCCCTCTCGAAGCAGATGATCCTCTGCGCGGCGCTGGTCGACGGGGGCATGCGGCCCAGTCTGGAGATAGTTCTAATAACCCTGTGCTACCTTTGCTACTGCCGACACTGGTGGACGCACTTTCATCGGACTTCAGATCCAGATCCATTTTGATCTCGGTTCGGTGGATGCTGGAGCTCAGCGTGGAGTCTGTGGCAAGGATCAGTTTGAGCGAGTGGTGAGATACCTTCGAGATCCGCATGGCTTGAAGCCAGTGCAGATGCCGACTCTTGAAATGGTCGCGGTGGGCGTCGGAGGATCCGCTGAGTTTGCCTCCGGCTGGGCTTCCAGGTCGCCGCGGCGAATTACTGCAGTGCTCTCGCGGTGCATCTGATTGCCTGCGATGTGCCCTTCCTGCTTCCAGTGGAGATGCTCAGGCAGCTTGGCATGTTTCCTGACTTGCAAGGTGGCGTTATCACTTGGCAGGCACTCGACGACGACCGATCGAGGGTGTGCGACGTAGGGGCAGGCAGGCGCACTGCGATCAATGTTTCTGATTTTCCCGACGATGGGTGGCAGAGAAAAAAAAGAAAATCTGGACAGTCTCTCCGAAGACCCAAGGATACTACCAGGTCGTTGAGCCTGAGGACAACGTGTTCTGCTTGCATCCGTAGGCACCTTCGGCTCAAACCAGTCTTCCTCAGCCGAGTGCCTCCTCTCTTGACATCTCGTGCGATGTTGTGCCGCGCAGGGCGCATCCTCACCGAGGTTGGGCCGCAGCTTGAACCTCCGAGCGTCTGCAGGTCCAGCCAGTCCCTGATGGCCCCAGAGAAGCGGACGTGGAAGTGGTGCACATTGTGCCTGAAGCTATTCGCCATCCTGGACCACGCGGCCACGAGGCGCCGCGTCGGTGCGAACACCTACGAGAACCTGCTCGGGGACGCCAAGAATCTGGACAACGAGGCTGCACAGTCCACGTTTCAGACCCGCGACCAGAGACTTCCCATCGAGTCGTGAAGGTCTCCGGCGAGGAGTGGTTTGTGGTGGGTAGAGGGTTCGGACTATTCGATTTCGTGTTATGGTGCGTCTTCTGAATACCACACAAATCATCGGATAATTGGTTCCTGTGGTCCGTTCCATTTCGAAGCGTTCAGAGCGGCGTTGCAGGATGCCTGGCGTGAGCGAGGTGAGGACTTGGGCCAAAACCCGGCGGATGGCCGAAATGAAACGTTTTCTCGTGCAATTTCTGTTCGTACACATGTGGCTCGAGGCAGAAACTGGCCACGAATGTTTTTTCGATGCGTGGCGTGAGGCGCCGCACGCGTGACCTAATCGATGCCAAGCGTTGTCTTGTGTGCATGCAGCTACTCCATTCTCGCGTGAGAGTGGTGGCTCATTTGGGGGGACGTTCGGGAAAATGTTGTCCGTCGTTCTGGCGACTGTCAGCAATTTGCCAGACGATGCTATTACCTACCCTGATCTGAAAGACGCCAGGGACGCAGCGAAAGAGCCAGAAAAGGGCCAGAAACCACACCACGCTGACGCTCCGGCCAGTCAGTTGGAAGGCCCGTTGGCATTGGAAGCGTTTGAACCCGGCTTGAGCTATACATTTCCCTTCTTTGTCCCTCTCTGTCCGGAGAGCCAGGGGGCACTGCTACAAAACTAAAGTTCTCTTGAAGGGGGTCCATCCGTAAACTCTCCCTTTCGCTGTGCCTCCACCATGAATGTTTCTCCCCGTACGCGCACGTTCCAAATGATTCGGGCACGGAAGCGAAACGAAAAGGGGGAGGAGGAGAAAAAGGGAAACGATGAGGACGAGGAGGAGGAGGACGAGGAGAAGGAAGAGGAAGAGGAGGAGGAGGAGGAGGAGGAGGAGGAGGAGGAGGAGGAGGAGGAGGGAGGAGGAGGAGGAGGGGGAGGCAGAGGAAGAGGAGGGGGGGTGGGGCGAGGACGAGGAAATTGACGAGGTGGAGGAGGAGGAGGAAGAGGAGGAAAAGGAGAGGAGGAAGAGGAGGAGGAGGAGGAGGAGGAGGAGGAGGAGGAGGAGGAGGAGGAGGAGGAGGAGGGCGAGACGGGAATAGCCACGACCACCGCGGCGGCGGCGCCGACAGGTACGGTCAGGAAGCGTGCAACGGCCTCCGCTTCCGCCGTCGCTCCGTCAACACCACCAGCAACGAGTGCGGCGCGCCCTGTTCGGGCCCCAAGGCGCGCCGCTCGAGAAATCGTTGCCGCTGTCGCCGTCGCCGTCGCCGTCGCTGACGCCGCCGCCTCTGTCTCCGTCGCCGCCGCCGCCGCCGCCGCCGCCGTCGTCGTCGTCGTTGTCGTCGTCGTCGTCGACGTCGTCGTTGTCATGTTCGTTCTCCTGTTCCCTGGCTCCTCCGTCCTCCATCTTCCCTTCGTCCCCTTCCCCAATCCGTCTTCGTGTTTTTTTCCTTGTGCCCTTCTCTCTCCTCCTGCAGCGGAGGATGAGGAGGAGGAGGAAGTGGAGGAGGAGGAGGGGGAGGGGGAGGAGGTTTATGATGATGGTGATGATGGTGACGATGATGATGATGATGATGATGATGATGATGATGATGATGATGATGATGATGATGATGATGATGATGATGATGATGATGATGATGATGATGTTGATGATGACGACGATGCTGATGCTGGTGATGATGATGATGGTGGTGGTGGTGATGATGATGTTGATGCTGAATCTGATTCTGCTGCTGCTGAGGACGACGTCGTTGATTATGGTGGTGGTGGTGGTGATGATGATGATGATGATGATGATGATGATGGTGACGATGCTGATGGGATGATGCTGATAATGCTGATGCTGATTATGTTGATGATGACGGTACTGATGAAGATGGTGATGGTGATGGTGGTGGTGGTGGTGATGATGATGATGAGTATCATGATTTTGATGGTGATGCTTCTGATGGTGATGCTTCTCATGATGATGATGCTACCCCCGCCCCTCATAGTCGAAGATGGCACACGGACGGCCTAAAAAGGCTCCCGAGAGGCTCCCAAGTGGTTTCCAGGAGGCCCCCAGGACGGACCAACTTGTGTCCTGTATGTGACGATCTTGGTCACGGTTGCGCTGTTACGGAGGCGGCGATGATGCTGTGTGGGTGATGAGGTTGTCGATGTTGATGCTGATGCTGATGCCGATGATGATGATGCTGCTGATGAGAAGGACGATGATGGCGATGTTGATGGTGATGGTGATTGCGATTGTGTTTACTATGCTGATTGTGATGGTGCTGCTGCTGTCCATGGTGATGGTTTTGATGACGATCGTGGTACTGTTATGGATGCTGATGCTGATGATGCGGATGATGCGGATGACGCGGATGGGGAACCGTTTGATGATGGTGATGATGGTGATGATGGTGATGATGGTGATGATGGTGATGATGCTGATGATGATGCTGATGCTGATTCTGATAATGATCATGATAATGATGGTGATTGTGATTGTGATGATGATGACGAGGCCGAGCATGATGGTGATGATGATGATGTTGATGACATGACGATGATCATGATGACGGTGATGATGACGATAATGCTGAAGATGGTGATGATGGTGATGATGATGATGATGTTGGTGATGATGGTGATGATGCTGATGATGATGATGCTGATGCTGATTCTGATAATGATCAGGATGATGCTGGTCATGGTGATGTTGATGATGATGATGACGAGGCCGAGGACGATGATGATGATGTTGAGGTTGATGACATGACGATGATCATGATGACGGTGATGATGATGCTGCTGATGATGATGATGACCGTGACGCTGAAGATGGTGATGCTGATGCTGATGATGATGTTGATGATACTGATAATGATGATAATGTCGATCATGCTGTTGATGGTGACGATGATGATGATGATGATGATGATGACGAGGCCGAGGATGATGATGATGCTGCTGATGATGATGATGATGATGATGATCATGGTGTTGCGGACGATGATGATGACGATGATGATGCTGACGACGATGATGATGACGATGATGATGATGATGATGATGATGATGATGATGATGATGATGATGATGATGATGATGATGACGATGCCGATGATGATGACATTGAATTCTTTACGCTTCGCGTATCCCCACCAGCCCATCTCACAACAACAACTCTTGCGAAGCATGCCGACAGTCGTGTTTTTCAGGCGTGTTTCCGCCTGCCCCCGCATATCTCCCCTGTTCCTCCTTCCTCCCGCCTCCTTGTACATCCTCCTTGTGGTGGGAGCGGGAGAAGGACGAGGCGGAGGAGGAGGGAGAGAAAGCGCTCCTCGTGGTTTGAGTCGTTTGGGGTTTCTCGTCCTGGTGTGAGTCGTTCGGGCCCTTCTTCCTGGTGTGAGTCGTTCGGGCTCTTCGTGGTGTGAGTCGTTCGGGCTCTTCGTCCTGGTGTGAGTCGTTCGGGCTTCTCGTGGTGTGAGTTGTTCGGGCCCCTCGTCCTGGTGTGAGTCGTTCGGGCCCCTCCTCCTGCCCGTCCAGAGACGACGCCCAGGCGAGTAGAGGGTCGTCCTGATGGGCTTTTCGGCGTCTTGGGTGCCTCGGGGGGGCCCCTTTGGGCCGTTTGGGATCCTCTTGGGGGCCTCCTGGGGGCCTCTTGGGGCTATCTTGGGGCCTCTTGGTGCCTCCTGGGCGCTTCTTGGGGCCATCTTAGAGGAACTCGATCAAAGAAGAGGGGAGCTTTAAGTAGCGCTGCCCCCTCAGAAGGCCAAAATGGGGCCAAAACCTTAGTAAAATCAATGATTTTGCCTTGAAAGAAGTTGGGAGCTTTAAGGAGCGCTGCCCCTTCAGAAGGGCAAAATGGGGCCAAAACCGTAGTAACATCAATGATTTTGGCTTCAAAGAGGAGGAGAGGGTTTTTTCTGGCCCCCCCCCGTCGGGGCCAGAATCCTCGTGAGGGGTGTCGTTTTTTAGCCCTCCCAGGAGTAAAAAAAGACCACTCCAACGACCCGCGAAAGGACCTCCAGGCCCAGGGGGAGGGGGTAGGGGGAGGGGTAAACCCCTCCCCGAAGGGGAAGAAGGGGGGTTGAGGACAGAGAGGGCTCTCTAAACCACTCACGCCCAAATGGCTGGTGGGATATGATGACGATGATGGTGACGCTGATGCTGCTGACGATGATAATGTTGCTGATGGTGATGATGCTGCTGATGATGCTGCTGCTGATGATGGTGATGATGGATACGGTGATTATCATGACGATGATGGTGCTGATGCTGATGCTGATGCTGATGCTGATGACGATGACGACGACGATGATGATGATGATGCTGATGATGATGATGATGATGATGATGATGATGATGATGAGCATGATGCTGATGATGTTGCTGATAATGATGATGATTATGTTGATGATGCTGCTGATGATGATGCTGCTGATTATGTTGATGATGATGCTGATGATGCTGATGATGCTGATGCTGCTGACGATGATGATGATGGTGATGAT